AGACTTAAAGAACATAAAAATAATATTAAATTAGACTCTGCTAGACATTCAGTTATCACGGAACACATTCTAAACGAACAACATACATTTGACTGGGACAATATTAAAATTATGGATCATGAAAAGAATTACCATAAAAGACTAATATCTGAAATGATCCACATTAAAGAACAGAAAAATGGAATTAATTTAAATACAGACACCGAATTGTTAGACAGTAGTTATTTTGACATACTTAAAAAATTTGCTGAATCATAATTTAGAAAAAACATTGGTAATAAATAAATACATCACGCTCTCTATTTTGACATTTGGTATTCAGACTTCGCAACACACACTTGAAATATCGGGGAAAAGGACTTGTTAAAACGATAATGTAAGTTGAAAGATTTTTTAATTTTCTCTGACATTGATTTAATTCGCGTATTATATCCGTAGCATGCTCAAATGTCGCATAACTTGGCATCTCAGACCAATCGCCTTGCATATCTATTGGTCAACAGCGAAGAATCGTTTCAATTTTATATTTTAATATTTAACTAACTTTGTATTTTTAACATCTAACTTTATATTTTAATATTTAATTTTTATGTATTGATAAAGACTGTAGTGCAGTCGAAACGTTTACAATTTATATCGATTCTGTAACGGAATGTTAATTTAATGATTTAACTATTAATAAAAAAATTTTTACATCTTATTTATTTGCTCGTTTAGTTGGCCTACTATATATGATTGTTTAATCTTTGAAAATTACTAAACAAATGCATTATTTAACTTATAAATAAAAAAACCAGCCTATATGGCCATCTTTTCTGTATGGCCATCTTACCTGAGTTTACCCTATATTTAGTTTTTAAATATAATTTGTAATCGCATTTGTTTCAAATATAATTTATATTGTCTGAACTAAGTACTATAAAATTTAGAAGTTTTAAAAAGTATTAAAATAATTCTTTTACAAAATAAAACTGACATACTTATATTATAAGATTATTTTCATTCATCACGTTGATACACTGAAAAAAAAATATTTATCTAACAGATACACTGAAAAAAATAGTTTATCTAACAAAATATTTAGATGAATACGTGCAACTAAATATTTATTTAAATTAAGCAAAGATATATTTAAATTAATAAAATATACAGTTAAATATACAGTATTTTGATGATTTAAATATATCTTTGCTTAATTTAAATAAATATTTACAATTATGGTAGTTGCACGTATTCATTTAAATATTTTGTTAGATTAACTTCTTTTTTCAGTGTATCTATGTATATACTGTAGGCATGCTATGTACATACTTGTGGTAATATTTCACATACATATGATATGCACTGTACATACTTTTCACACTCTACGTACATACATAAGTAATGAAATTTATATCCACATATGTATATACATAGGACATACATTGCATATCTTTGAAATATACTTATGTATATACTGTAAACATGCTATGTACATACGTATAATATGCGATGTATATACTTTTTACATTTTATTTATATACATAGGTAATGAAATTTATATCCATATATGTATATACATAGGATATACATATTTGTATGCACATTTAATATACGCTGTATGTACTTTTCACATTCTATGTATATACGTAGGTAATGAAATTTATATACATATATGTATATACGTAGGGCATACATTACATATCTTTAGAATATACCTATGTATATACTTTAAATATGCCATGTACATACGAGGTGTGTTCAAAAAGTATCGCGAATTTTGTGTTTTTTCAAAAATTATTTATTTATTCATGAATATCTATTTTGTCCCCTTCAAAGTAATCCCCACCAGATATTATACACTTGTGCCAACGTTTTTTCCAATCCTCGAAGCACTTCAAAAAATCATTTTTTGTGATCTTGTTCAGCTCCTCCTTCGATGCCGTCTTTATCTCCTCAATCGTAGCGTAGCGTCGTCCTTTCATGGGCCTCTTCAGTTTCGGGAACAAGAAAAAGTCACAAGGGGCAGATCTGGGGAATACGGTGGCTGCGGCATTATTAGTGTGTTGTTAATGCGATGCTGTTTTTGGTCGAAATTGAGCAATTTTGGTACGAATTTCGCGGCGACCCGTGTCATGCCCAAATCATTGGTAAAAATCGAATGGCACGAGCCAATCGATATGTTTAGGTCCTCAGCAACTTCTCTAACGGTGATTCGACGATTGACCAATACTATTTTCTTCACTTCATCAATGTTTTCGTCTGTTGTTGACGTGCTCGGGCGTCCGGCACGCTCTTCGTCGTTCACATCTTCTCGGCCCTCGGAAAACATTTGTACCACCGATAAACGCTGCTTCGGTCCAAGGTAGCTTCACCATATGCCACAGTCAACATTCGGAATGCGTCCGCGCACTTAATTTTGTTTTTCACACAAAATTTGATACAGATTCTTTGATCCATTTTTTGGAATAGGCAAAAATCGAAGACGAGCCAAAACACGTGCAAGCAAAGCAGCTGTCAAAAATTAACTGAACATTTAAAATGGCCGTACTTGTCGGCATAAATGAGAAACATGAGTACCAACATAACGCCACAAAAAAATCGAAAATCGAATATACGTAACCCGCGGAAATTCAAAATTCGCGATACTTTTTGAACACACCTCGTACATGTGGTAATTATTTCACATACATTCGATATGCGCTGTACGTATTAGCTAGAAAGAAATTCAGAATTTGAATAAGATAAAATTATGGAGATAATCATTTAATTGAAGATCATTTATTTATTCTTTTTCTGAATTTTATTTGTAACATTTTATCAATATATATATATATAATATATATATATATATATATATGTTTGTCCCGGGCCAGTTTCCGGGACTTTTGACATCCCGTATTGGCAGATTCCGGGACATTTGGCATTTTCCAGGACTGACCTGGAAAAAATTTAGGTCCCACGGCAGTTTCCAGGACGCCCTGGAAACTGCCATTTAGATGAAATGGCAGATTCCAGGTCTGTACATTTAGATGTATATACATTAAATGTACAGACCTGGAAACTGCCATACACTTAAATGTATATATGTACATTTCGATGTATGACAGTTTCCAGGTCTGTACATTTAATCTAGAACTATATGGCAGTTTCCAGGTCTGTACATTTAAATGTATATACATCTAAATGTACAGACCTGGAAACTGCCATATATTTAAATGTATACATGTACGTTTCGGTGTATGGCAGTTTCCAGGTCTGTACATTTAATTTAGAACTATATGGCAGTTTCCAGGTCTGTACATTTAAATGTATATACATCTAAATGTACAGACCTGGAATCTGCCATTGTATCTAAATGGCAGGTTCCAGAACGTCCTGGAAACTGCCGTAGGACATAAATCTTTTTCAAGATATACCTATACAAAGAAAATAATAAATTTTTTATAATATATAATTATTGCATATACAAATATATACATTTCATAAATATACATGATTTCTAAACGCAAAGATATAATTACTTGATATATTTTTATAACTTCAAAATTTTAGGCTTACTAAAAGCAATTTTAAAAAAGCAATATTGCAAATGTTAGTAAGAAATGATGAAAAGAAATTAAAATTGTTGTTATTGTCGTTATATTCAAACAACCAGATTGTAATAAAAAATAATAAGAATTTAATAAAATGAAGATTATTGATTTTATTGCAATACCGAGAAAAGAGAGAAACATATTTCTTCATTATAGCAATAATAAAATCATTAGTTAACATCAGTTATTATAAGATTATTATAATAAAATATGATATTTCAAATTTATTGATATAGAAATAAGATTTCTACATATACAAAGAGACACTATCTTAAGAAAACTTACACTGATCCCGAAATATTCACGAATGCAAACAACTTTGCAAACCTTGAAACGTAATACATAGTTAATAACAGAATTATATGAAAAAATAAACACAAAAAGTTTAGACATGTCAGAAGATTTCTCCAAATGTTAATGAAAACTTATTAAAACGCAAATCAAAATTATTTACATTATGGTTATATTCACCAAGCTCAAGTTTAAATAAAAATTAACAAAAATAAATCAGTACTTAACTAATTATAATGAAAATATTTTTCGCAGAATAATTTATTACTTCAGAATTTGAATTAAGATTTATAGAAATAATACAAATTTAAGATACAATATTTTCAAACAATTTTAACGGTCCTGGAAAATGCCGTATTTTCAATAATGCAAATAATTTTCCAGAACTTAAAACACAAGTCATTCTAATAGTAAGATTATATAAAAGAACGTCGACAAATTTAGAAGAACTCACCAGAAGCCTTCTCAAAATAATATTACTTCAAGTGTAAATGCAAATAATGTGTGCAAATTTACAAATTATCAAAACTAGTGATATTATTCTTATATATAAACATTCAATTTATACCGTATTAAATTAAAAAAATCAGCTTTCAGTAGTTAATCAAAATGTAAATATGATCTTTCGAAGTAGTATTTATTATAATTTCGAATTAAGACTTATAAAAGAATAAAAAGAGACAATATTTAAAAAAAGCTTTACTAATCCCGGAACATGCTGTGTATGTTCAAAAATGCAAATGTCTGAATAATTTAGAACTTATTATGTTGCTCTAATAGCAGAATTATAAAAAACTTCTCGATAACTGTAGACTTATCAGAAATCTTCTTAAAATAAAACTACTTCAAGTTTCAATGTAAATGTGTATGTGAAAATCTAAACCAAAATTTACTGTCGATATTATTCCATCCGAAAATTTAATTTGCATGGTATTAATACAAAAATCAACTGTCAACACATAATTACATGTAAATATGGTCTTTTGAAGTAGAATTTAATACTTGAAAGTTAAAATTTTAATTGAAATAATCCAAAGAAACATTATATTTAAAAAATTTAATCGGTCCCGGAACATGCCGTACGTTCAATAATGCAAATAATTTTTTAAATCTAAATACATAATACTTATTCTAATAGCAGAATTATTTGAAATAAGATCCTTGATAAATGTAGACTTACCAGTAACTTTCTTAAAATAAAACTACTTTAAGTTTCAATGCAAAGTGTATGTGAAAACCTAAAACAAAGTTTATTGAGAGTACTATTATATCCAAAGATTTAATTCACATGGTTTTAATAAAAAAAAGTCAGCTCTCAATAAATAATTATATGTAAATATGATCTTTTAAAGTAGAAATTAATAACTGAAAATTAAAATTTATAATGAAAATTATTTCATTTTGTATTAACAAAGAGGACAATTTAAGAAAGTTTTGTCGGTCCCGAAACATGCCGTATGTTTAAAAATGCAAATATCTTTTCAGAATTTAAAACTTATTATGTCACTCTAAAAGCAGGACTATATAAAACAAAATTCTCGATAATTGTATACTTAAAAAAGTCTTCTTAAAAATAAACCTACTTCTTAAGTTTCAATGCAAGTGTAAATGTGAAAACCTAAACCAAAATTACTGATTTTATTGTTATATACAAAGACATAATTTACATACCTTTAATCCAAATATCAGATCGCAACATGTAATTATAATGTGAATATGATCTTTTAAAGTAGCAATTAAAACTGCAAATAAAAATTTATAATGAAATACTACAAAGACGCGATAATTAAAAAAAAATGTTATCGGTCCCGAAACATGCCGTATGTTTAAAAATGCAAATACTTCTGAATTTAAAACGTCCCCCACGCAGCGAAAATTATATGACATAAATTCCTCAACAACTTTAAACTTACCAGAAGCTCTTCTTAAAATAGAATTATTTCGACCATTAATGCATTGATGTGTGTGGACATGCAAACAAAAATTAATGCATTATACCCGAATATTCAATTTAAATTGTTTTAATCTACAAATCCATTTTCAACACTTAATTATAATGTAAATATGATATTTTAAAGTAAAATATAACTAGAAATTAAAATTTTAATGGAAATAATACGAAAAAGCAATACCTTACATAAATTTATGCTGTCCCAGAAAATGCCATATACTCAAAAATGCAAATAGCTTTACAGAATTTAAAACTTATTATGTTGCTCTAATAGCAGGATTATATGAGACAAAATTCTCGTGAAATGTAGACTTACCAGAAGCCTTCTAAAAAATAAATCTACTTCAAGATTCAATGAAAATGTGTGTGTGAAAAAACTTAAACCAAAATGAATGACTTTACTATTATATCCAAAGAGATTTACTTAACTTTAAAATCCAAATATCAGCTCTCAACACGTAATTATAACGTAAATACGATTTTTTGAAATAAAATTTTATAACAAGATATTAGACTTTATATAGAAATAATACAGATCGACATTACTTTAATACATTTTTTTATTGGTCCCGGAATTTGCCAAATATTAAAAAATGCAAATATCTTTCCAGAATTTAAATCTTATTATGTCGCTCTAATAGCAGGATTATATAAAGCCAAAGTTTCTTACAACTTGCGACTTACCAGAAGCCTTCTTAAAAATAAACCTACTTCTCTCTCGCAGTAGTCTCAACGCAAATGTGGGTGTGAAAACCTAAACCAAAATTATTGACTTTATTCTTATATACGGAGATACAATTGTAACGGCGTAGCCGTTACTAACGCCTCGCGGGCCGATCACCCGCCCGCCACTTGAGGCTATGGCGCCTAAGGCGCCCCTAAGCACAAAATCATAACTGATACACGGGTCACCCTACCCCAGGGGCGCCCCACTACAACCCCCAGAGGCGCCCCACTACGACGCCGGCGTTACCCCCACCACAGCCTCGATGTAGAGTGGGGGAACCGCCGGCAGGGTATATAAGCCGGCTCGACGGATGAGCCGGCACCAGTCCTGTTCCGGACCTCCTAGCCAGGCAACGGGCTTCTCGTTGTTACGCCGGGTTTCTCGGTTTCTGGCCTCCTACCTTTAGTATCGGGCAACGGGTTTCTCGTTGTTACGCCGGGTTTCCCGGTTTCCGGTCTCTTCCTGCTATACACCGGGTGACGGGTTTCTCGTCATTACGCCGGGTTTCCCGGTTTCCGGTCTCTTCCTGTTACACGCCGGGCAACGGGTTTCTCGTTGTTACGCCGGGTTTCCCGGTTTCCGGTCTCTTCCTGCTACACGCCGGGCAACGGGTTTCTCGTTGTTACGCCGGGTTTCCCGGTTTCCGGTCTCTTCCTGCTACACGCCGGGCAACGGGTTTCTCGTTGTTACGCCGGGTTTCCCGGTTTCCGGTCTCTTCCTGCTACACGCCGGGCAACGGGTTTCTCGTTGTTACGCCGGGTTTCCCGGTTTCCGGTCTCTTCCTGCTACACGCCGGGCAACGGGTTTCTCGTTGTTACGCCGGGTTTCCCGGTTTCCGGTCTCTTCCTGCTATACACCGGGTGACGGGTTTCTCGTCATTACGCCGGGTTTCCCGGTTTCCGGTTTCTTCCTGCCATAGGCTATACGCCTCCGTACACCGTATCTCTAAGTTATACCGGGTAATTTGTAAATCTTTTCCGGACACCGCTACAGGCTATACGCCTCCTTATTTTGTTTATACCGAGTAGTCAATAAGTTTCTCTATTTAGGGCTTTATGCCAACAAACATTTCGTTTATACCGAGTAGTCAATAAGTTTCTCTATTTAGGCTTTATGCCAACAATCATTTTGTTTACTTGTTTCTTTTTGAATAAACCAAAGTATTGTTAATAAGGAATAAGCGAGTCTGAATCTCCCCCTTCCTCCCGAATCCTGGAACCGGCGAGCCGATCCGCGGCGTCGGGAAAGGTGAACCGTTACATGGCGCCCGAACAGGGACCTGCCCAGTGGAGATCCCGACTCGCTTAAGCCTATCCAGATGCCCGCGTGGGTAAATCAATTATCAAAAACCGAAGCTATTGCCTTGGCCAAAAGACACGGAATCGATAGCCAAGGAACTTTAGACGAGGTCCGCCGACGCCTCCGCCGATTTGTCGGGCAAAACCCCGCGCTATTTCGAACTCACCTACCTGTGCCCACTATCAACGTCGAAATGGCCACCGGAAGCCCAACCAAAGACGAAGAAGCTACCACCCCGACACCTGTTGAACCAGCCAGGATCATGGACCAGATCCGAAAATGGGGGTGCCACTTCGAGGGCAAGGACCCCCTGGCATTCCTCGAGCGTACGGAAGAGCTGTGCCTGGGCTACGGCTACACCGACGCCCAGATGCTGTTAGGGCTACCCGAACTCTTACGGGGAGACGCCCTGCTGTGGTATCGCAACATCCGCGATACCATAGCCAGCTGGGCCGACTTTCGCCAAGCTGTCCGCCAGCAATACCTGCCAAGCGGGTATGAGAGACAGATGAAAAGGACGATCCAGGGACGTCAACAACGCCCTAAAGAGTCCTTCCAAAAGTACGCCACCGAGGTCCTGACCATGATGCGGCGCGCCGGGGGATATTCACCCCTAGACCAACTGGAACAGCTCTACGAAAACATGGATCCGGAGTACCAATTGTACATCCGTCGGGCGGACGTGCTCAGCGTCGGGGATCTGAGCATCCGAGCCACCGAATACGAAGAGGCCGACCGCCGAAGACAGGAACGACGAAGGGACGTGCCGCAAAGCCACACCCCGGTTGTAGCTTCCGCGGTCTACAGTCGGGAGGAATGTTGCTGGAGGTGCAAGCAACGAGGACATACACGCCTGCACTGCCAGCGACCTCCGAAGAAATTCTGCTCGAGATGTGGCAAGGACGGGGTCCTCACCCGTGACTGCCACCCCCCGACGGGAAACGGGGTGCGGGCCGGAGACGTCGCGGCCGTCGTCCAGCCCAACTCGGCCTAAAATACAACCCGAGACCGCACCTCCGGATCCAGATCGCCGGACAACATTTGTGGGGCCTCCTCGATTCCGGCTCAGAAATCTCATTCGTAAACGCTGAAACGGCCCGCCGAATCAACCGCACACCGTCTAGCCCAGATCTCAAGGCAGCCCAGATACGCCTGGCCGACGGGACGCAAGTCCCCATTGCCGAGACCATCGAAGCAACGGTCAGGTTACGAGGAAAATCGTACCGCCACCGCTTCTCCGTACTACCACAACTAGACAACGCCGTACTAATAGGCATAGACCTCTGGGCGAAATTAGGAGTCGAGCTGCGCCCGCCGCCCAGACCTGTCACCGAGACAACAACCAAAGATGGAATCGCGACAGCCAGTATCAGCCCAGGAACTACCAGCGAGGCGCTAAGGCTACAGGCCTTTCTAAATAACGAACTTCCAAAGTTCGAATCGGTCCGCGGCCCGACCGACAAAGCCACACACCAAATTCGGCTAAAACCGGGGCCGCCCATTAAACAACGATATCGGCCCCGTAATCCGGCCATGCAAGCCGTGATCGACCAAGAGGTCCAAAAGATGGAAGCCGAAGGAGTCATCGAGCCCTCCACCAGCGCCTGGAGCTCTCCGATAGTGCTGGCAAAGAAGAAAGACGGGACCTACCGATTTTGTATAGACTTCCGCCGATTAAACGCGGCCTCAGAAAAAGATGCATACCCGCTGCCTCACATTGCCGCCACCTTAGATAAGCTACGAGGCGCACACTACTTGTCCACGTTGGACCTACGCAGCGGGTATTGGCAAGTGCCACTAACTCCGGAGAGCCGCCCCGCAACCGCCTTCACGGTGCCAGGGAGAGGGCTGATGCAGTTCCGCGTCATGCCATTCGGACTGCATTCAGCACCGGCCACCTTCCAACGGCTGCTCGACACCGTGCTAGGACCCGAGTTAGAACCACACGTCCTCGTCTACTTGGACGACATAGTTGTCGCGTCCCGTACTTTCGAGGAGCACCTAGGCCACTTGGCCGAAGTCTTTCGCCGCCTCCGTGACGCCCGACTCCGCCTCAACCCAGAAAAGTGTCACTTCTGCCGGCCAAGTCTTCGGTACCTCGGACACGTTATCGATCGGCACGGAATCCGGACGGACCCAGAAAAAGTGCGAGCCATTACCGATTGGCCTGCCCCCACGACCCTCCGCAGGGTTCGGCAATTTCTGGGGGTAGCGTCATGGTACCGCCGATTCATCGCTGACTTCTCCACTATCGCCGCCCCTCTCACTCGACTCACTAAAAAGAGAGCGCGCTGGACCTGGGCAAAAGAAGAAGAAACCGCGTTCCGGAAACTAAAACAGGCCTTAACCACCGCACCTGTCCTCGCCTGTCCAGATTTTGCGCGACCATTTCTACTACAAACCGACGCCAGCGCCCACGGGTTAGGGGCCGTATTAACCCAACACCTCGGCGAAGGAGAGCGGGTTATCGCGTACGCCAGCCGGACCCTCAACGCAGCCGAGAAGAATTATAGCGCTACCGAACTAGAGTGCTTGGCTGTCGTGTGGGGTATACGCCGGATGCGGGATTACCTCGAGGGCTACCGATTCACCGTCGTGACCGACCACCAAGCTTTAAAGTGGTTACAACACATCGAGGCCCCTACCGGACGACTAGCCCGCTGGATGTTCGAATTACAACAACATGATTTCGACATCCAGTACCGGCGCGGGACACTTAACCAGGTGGCAGATGCCCTCTCCCGCCTCCCGGAAGCTTTGGCGGTGACCCGGCCGAAATGCCGGTGGTACCACCGTAAACTAGCCGAAGTACGGAGACATCCGACCGATCACCCGGACTATAAAATCCAGGATCAACGATTGTACAGGCATATACTCCACGATCTGGACTTCCGGGAAACACCAGCCGAAGAGCAATGGAAGCAGTGCGTGCCTACAGACCAACGACCCGCCCTGCTTCAGCGAATGCACGACGACCCGGCCGCCGGGCACCTAGGCATTTCCAAAACATTGGCTCGGGTGGCCCAGCTATATTACTGGCCCGGCATGTTTCGGGAAATTGCCCGGTACGTCCGAGGGTGCGCTAATTGTGCGCGGCACAAGGCCAGTCAACAACGACCGGCTGGTCGGATGATGGCCACCTCTGTCCGCGCACCATGGGAACAAGCCGCCGTAGACCTGATCGGTCCCCTGCCTCGATCCACTAGCGGCCATACCTGGCTATTAACCATACAAGACCGGTTCAGTAAGTGGATCGAAATGGTCCCGCTTAGAAAAGCCACCGCCGTAGCCGTAGCCCGAGCACTCACCGACCGCCTGATATACCGGCACGGGTGTCCGGTCGCCCTGGTATCCGATAACGGGACTCAGTTCGTCGCGCAACGCATTAAGGCCTTGCTAGCTTCCTACGGGATACAACATCGGACATCCCCCGTGTACACTCCGCAATGCAATCCGGTAGAGCGAGCGAACCGTACGGTTAAAACAATGATCAGCCAGTACGTAGGCCGGCGGCACAAAGACTGGGACGAGCGAATCCCCGCCTTACAGTTCGCCATCAACACCGCCCGACATGAGGCCACCGGATACACTCCGGCCTACATCCTGCATGGCCGAGAGCTCGCTCGCCCACATCCAGAGGATCGACCAGGAACCGCACCAGCACCAGGACCAAGCACCCGCCAGACCCAGTTGGAGGACGCCTACAAGGTGGTCCGAATCCACCTCGCCCGGGCCTTCCAGCGGCAAGAGAAGCCGTACAACCTGAGGCGACGAGACTGGCGACCGCAGCTGGGCGAACGCGTCTGGAAACGCGACCGCCCCCTGTCCAGCAAGGCCAACGCGTTCAACGCCAAGCTGGCCCCGAAGTACAGCGGACCGATGACTGTCCGGAGGATCGTATCCCCCGTAATCGTTGACCTCAAGGACGCCCGAGGACGATGGCACCGCCACATCCATGTGCAGGACCTCAAGGCGGCATCCGAGGAAGAGGACGAGGAAACCATCGGGGCGTAGGACAGGACCAGCCGCCGTGATTCCTCCAGCGCCATACCGCCCACGCCACTCGGAAGTTCCGAGCCACTTTCCCTACTGGACGGTGGATGATACGGTTCGACCGTTTCGGCCGATCACGTGCGATCCACCGTCTAGGGAGGGGGTAGTGTAACGGCGTAGCCGTTACTAACGCCTCGCGGGCCGATCACCCGCCCGCCACTTGAGGCTATGGCGCCTAAGGCGCCCCTAAGCACAAAATCATAACTGATACACGGGTCACCCTACCCCAGGGGCGCCCCACTACAACCCCCAGAGGCGCCCCACTACGACGCCGGCGTTACCCCCACCACAGCCTCGAGGTAGAGTGGGGGAACCGCCGGCAGGGTATATAAGCCGGCTCGACGGATGAGCCGGCACCAGTCCTGTTCCGGACCTCCTAGCCAGGCAACGGGCTTCTCGTTGTTACGCCGGGTTTCTCGGTTTCTGGCCTCCTACCTTTAGTATCGGGCAACGGGTTTCTCGTTGTTACGCCGGGTTTCCCGGTTTCCGGTCTCTTCCTGCTATACACCGGGTGACGGGTTTCTCGTCATTACGCCGGGTTTCCCGGTTTCCGGTCTCTTCCTGTTACACGCCGGGCAACGGGTTTCTCGTTGTTACGCCGGGTTTCCCGGTTTCCGGTCTCTTCCTGCTACACGCCGGGCAACGGGTTTCTCGTTGTTACGCCGGGTTTCCCGGTTTCCGGTCTCTTCCTGCTACACGCCGGGCAACGGGTTTCTCGTTGTTACGCCGGGTTTCCCGGTTTCCGGTCTCTTCCTGCTATACACCGGGCAACGGGTTTCTCGTTGTTACGCCGGGTTTCCCGGTTTCCGGTCTCTTCCTGCTACACGCCGGGCAACGGGTTTCTCGTTGTTACGCCGGGTTTCCCGGTTTCCGGTCTCTTCCTGCTATACACCGGGTGACGGGTTTCTCGTCATTACGCCGGGTTTCCCGGTTTCCGGTTTCTTCCTGCCATAGGCTATACGCCTCCGTACACCGTATCCTAAGTTATACCGGGTAATTTGTAAATCTTTTCCGGACACCGCTACAGGCTATACGCCTCCTTATTTTGTTTATACCGAGTAGTCAATAAGTTTCTCTATTTAGGGCTTTATGCCAACAAACATTTCGTTTATACCGAGTAGTCAATAAGTTTCTCTATTTAGGCTTTATGCCAACAATCATTTTGTTTACTTGTTTCTTTTTGAATAAACCAAAGTATTGTTAATAAGGAATAAGCGAGTCTGAATCTCCCCCTTCCTCCCGAATCCTGGAACCGGCGAGCCGATCCGCGGCGTCGGGAAAGGTGAACCGTTACACAATTAACATATTTTTAATCCAAATATTAGAACCTAACACATAATTATAATGTGAATATGATCTTTCGAAGTAGAAATTAATAACGGAAAATTAAAATTTATAATAAAATAATACAAGGAAGCAATAATTTAAGAAAAATGACATCCCAAAACATGCCGTATCTTCAAAATAGCAAATAATTTTTCTGAATTTAAAACGTCCCCCTTATAGTGATATTATATGACAAAGAATCCTCGATAACTATAAACTTACCAAAAGCCCTTTTTAAAATAGAATTATTATTTCAACCATTAATGCATTGATGTGTGTGGACATTCAAACCAAAATTAATGCATTATAGCTGAAGATACAATTTAAATCGTTTTAATCTAAAAATCCATTCTCAATTAGCACTTAATTATAATGTGAATATAATACTTTGAAGTAGAATGTAATAACTAAAAATTAAAATTTATGTAGAAATAATACAAAAAAGCATTACCTTATAAAAAGTTTAGCGGTCCCGGAAAATGCCGTATGCTCAAAAATGCAAATATCTTTCCAGAATTTAAAACTTATTATGTTTCTCTAATAGCAGAATTATATGAAACAAAATTCTTGATAACTTTAAACTTGTTAGAAGCCTTCTTAAAAATAAACTTCAAGATTCTATGCAAATACGTATGTGAAAATCTAAACCAAAATTTCTTGACGTTACTATTATATATCCGAAGATTCAATTCACATATCGTTTTAATTCAAAAGTAAGCTCTCAGCATAAAATTATATATAAATATAGTTTTTTGAAGTAGAATTTAATAACTCAAAGTTAAAATTTATATTTAAATAATACAAAGAAACATTACTTTTAAAAATTTTATCGGTTCCGGAACATGCCGTACGTTCAATAATGCAAATAATTTTTCTATAACCTAAAAACATAATACTCGCTCTAATAGCAGAATTATTTGAAACAAATTTCTCGATAACTTTAGACCTACCAGTAGCGTCCTTAAAATAAAACTGCTTCAAGTTTCAATGCAAATGTGTATTTGAAAACCTAAACCAAAATTTATTGACGTTACTATTATATATCCGAAGATTCAATTCACATGGTTTTAATTCAAAAGCTAGCTTTCAATATATAATTATATGTATTAATATGATCTTTTCACGTAGAATTTAATAACTAAAAATTAAAATTTATATTTGACACAACAAGAAGGATTGGATAACTACATCATACAGGAATACTGCACATCGTGTATTTCACAAGACAAACTTTTATATCAATATGGCGATGGCGAGAGAGAACATTAATTATAAATTAATATAGATGGTCGATCGGGACGACCAAAAAGATTATAAATAGCGACACCACAGTTCGCGTTGATTGGCTAGCTTAGCAATATTGTTATAGATGTGATCGTTAATGCTCTAACAATATTGCAATAATACAAAATAAAATTATTTAAAAAATAGTTTATCGGTCCCGGAACATGCTGTATGTACACTAATCGTATGCAAATAGCTTTTAAAACTTTACAACATTATATCTCGTTTGAATAGCAAGCTTATATAAAAAATCTGTATAATCTTAGACTTTTATCAAAAGTATTCTAAAAACTACTTTAATAAAAAATGATATAAAATCAAATTGAAATTATACTGACGAATGTTCAATTTAAATCGTTTTAATCCAAAAATCGATTCTCGAATAATTAATTATAAATTAATTATAAAAATCGATTCTCCAATAATTAATTATAATGTCAATATAATCTTTCGAAATAGAAATTAATAACTAAAAACTTAAAATGAAATAATACAGAGGCAATAATTTAAAATTTTTTTCTGTCCCGAAACATGCCGTATGTTCAAAAATGCAAATAATTTTCCTGAATTTAAAACGTCCCCCTCTAAATAATAATATTACATGACAAACTTTTAATTATAATGTAAATATGCTATTTCAAAGTAAAATTTAATAATTTAAAATTAAAATTTACATAGAAATAATAAAAAGAGACATTACTTTATAAAAATTTTAGCAGTACCGTAATATACCGTATGTTCAAAAATGCAAATCATTTTCTTGATTTTAACACGTCCCCTTCATAGCGATATTATATGACAAAAACTCTTCGATAACTTTAAACTTACCACACACACACACACACACACACAAAAGCCCTTTTTAAAATAAAATAATTATTTTAACCAATTATGCAAATGATGTGTGTGGGCATCCAAATAAAAATTAATACATTCCATCCGAATATTCAAATTAAATCGTTTTAATCTAAAAATCCATTCTCAACACTTAATTATAAAGTGAATATGATATTTTGAAGCAGAACTAAATAACTGAAAATTTAAATTTACATAGAAATAATACAAAGAAACATTAGTTTACAAAAATTTTAGCGATTCCGGAATATGCCGTATGCGCAGAAATGCAAAAACCTTTCCAAAGTTTAATATTACGTCGCTCTAATAGCAGGATAATATGAAACAAATAATTCCTCGATACCTTTTGACTTACCAGCAGCTTTTTTAAAAATAAACTTACTTCAAGTTTCAATGCAAATATGGATGTGAAAACCTAAACCAAAATTATTGACCTGATTGTTATATTCGAAGACACAATTTACATAGCTTTAATCCAAATGTCGAAATATCAGCTCTTAACACGTAATTATAATGTGAATATGATCTTTCGAAGTAGAAGCTAATAACTGCAAATTAAAATTTATAATGAAATAATACAAAAAGACGATAATTTAAAAAATGTTGTCGGTCCCGAAACATGCTATATATATGTTCAAAAATGGAAACATCTTTCGAGAATTTAAAACGTATTACGTCGCTAATAGCAGGATTATATAAAATAAAATTTTCGTTAACGTTAGACTTATCAGAAGCTTTTTTAATACGTAAATATAATTTGAATATGATCTTTCAAATAGAAATTACTGAAAATTAAAATTTATATAGAAATAATAGAAAGAGACATTACTTTACAAAAATTTTAGCGGTCCCCGAATATGCCGTATGTCCAAAAATGCAAATATCTTCCCATAATTTAAAACTTATTATGTCACTCTAATAGCAGGATTATCTGAAACAGAATTCTCGATAACTTTTAGACTTACCACAAGCCTTCTTAAAAATAAACTTACTTCAAGTTTCAATGCAAATGTAGGTGAGCTTTAATTCAAAAATTAGCTCTCTCATATAAGTATAATGTGAATGTGATCTTTCGAATAGAAATTAATAACTGGAAATTAAAATTTATATAGAAACAGTACAAAGAAGCTATATAATTTAAAAAAAAAACGGTGTCGGAATATATCGAAACATGTCGTATGTTCAAAAACGCAAATAATTTATTTGAATTTAAAACGTTCCCCTCATAGCGAAATTATATGACAAAAAGGTTTTGATAACTTTAAACTTATCAGAAGCCCTTCTAAAAATAGAATTATTATTTCAATCATTAATGCAAATAATGTGTGTGGACATCCAAATAAAAATTAATGCATTACACCCGAAGATTTAATTTAAATCGTTTTAATCTAAAAATCCATTCTCAACACTTAATCACAAATGACATTTAATTAAATATGACATTTCGAAGTAGAATTTAATAACTGAATATTAAAATTTATGTAGACATAATACAAAATACATAAGACATTAATTTACAAAAATGTTAATGGTCCCGGAATAGGTCGTATGTTCAAAATGCAATTACCTTTCCAGAATTTAAAACTTATAACGTCGCTCTAATAGCAAGATTATATAAAACAAAATTCTTGATAACGTTAGACTTACCAGAAGCCTTCTTAAAAATAAATCTACTTCTCAAGTTTCAATGCAAATATAAATGTGAAAAACTAAACAAAAAATTATTGATTTTACTGTTACATGCGAAAACAATTTACATAGTTTTAATCCAAGCATCAGCTCTCAACGCGTAATTATAATGTAAATATGATCTTTTAAAGTAAAAATTAATGACTGCAAATTAAAATTTATAATGAAATACAAAAAAGCGATAATTTAAAAAAACTGTCGATCCCGAAACATGCCGTATGATCAAAAATACAAATAATTTTTCTGAATTTAAAACGTCCCTCTCATGGCGATATTACATGACAAAAAATCCTCGATAACTTTAAAATTACCAGAAGCAAATAATGTGTGTGAACACTCAAACCAAAACTAATGCATTTTATATCCGATGATTTAATTCGTTTTAATTTAAAAATCCATTCTCAACACTTAATTATAATGTGAATATGATATTTCAAAGTAGAATTTAATAATTGAAATTAACATTTATATAGAAATAATACAAAGAGACATTACTTTACAAAAATTGTAGCGGTCTCGGAATATGCCATGTGTTCAAAAATGCAAATATTTTTCCAGAATTTAAAACTTATTAAGTCGCTCTAATATCAGTATTATATAAAACAAAATTCTCGATGACTTTTTTTAGACTTACCAGAAGCCTTCTTAAAAATAAATCTACTTCAAGTTTCAGTGCAAATGTGGGTGTAAAAACCTAAACCAAAATTATTAACTTTACTCTTATGTAAGAAGATCGATTCAATTCGCATGGTGTTAATATAAAAATCAATAACATGTTAACAGTTAATTATATGTAAATATGGTCTTTTGAAGTAGAATGTAATAACGGAAAGTTAAAATTTATACCGAAATAATACAAAGAAACATTACATTTAAAAAATTTTATCCGTCCCGGAACATGCCGTACGTTCAATAATGCAAATAATTTTTCTATAACCTAAAAACATAATACTCACTCTAATAGCAGAATTATTTGAAGCAAAATCCCCGATACCAGTAGCCTTCTTAAAATAAAATAAAACTACTTCAAGTTTCAATGCAAATGTGTATTTGAAAACCTAAACTAAAATTTATTGACGTTATTATATATCCGAATTTAAGATTCAAATCATATGATTTTACTTCAAAAGTTAGCTCTCAACATATAATTATATGTAAACAAGTTTTTTTGAAGTAGAATTTAATAATTAAAAATTAAAATTTTTATTTGACAGAACGAGATATGCGATATCTAAATCACACAGGAAAAAATATAATACTGCACATCGTGTATTTGCACGAGACAAACTTTTATATCAATATGGCGAGAGATAACTAATTATAAATCAATATAGATGATCGATCGAGACGATCAAAAACGTTATAAACGGCGACACCACATTTTGTCTTAATTGGCTAGCTTAGCAATTGTTATAGCAGATGTGGATCGCTAATGCTCTAACAATTTCGCAAGAACATATAATTCAAAACTTAAAAGTGAAACTTAAATTTCAATTTTATAATTTCTTATTTTATTAAATATATTATGTAATAAATGTATTTTGCTTTACTTATAAGAAAAGAAAACTTATTGTTAACTTTTATTGCTAATAAGTAATATTAGCATATATATAATAAGAAATAAACTTGGACATTTCATAACAAATTAATGCAGTAATTGAAACTTACAATAGAGAAACTAAAAAATAAAAAACATTCTGCCTTCAAAAATAAAAATACATATCTTAATTTTAGTAATTAAAATTTATAATCAAAAAGTTAATAGACTCAAAAATTAAAAACATATTATTTTAAAAAATAAAAATGCATATCTAAAATGGCATAATTGAAATTTGTAAAATCAAAATCTTAATAAACTCAAAAATCAAAAATAGGATGCCATAAAATATAACAATACATCTTAAAAATTAAATGTAGATACATTTACTCAAAAGTCTTATTTTTTTTAATTGGTTGTGTAACCATGTTTTTATGACATCAGTTTTTCTATCTCTTAGAACATTATATTTCATTTTAACTTTTTCTATCTCCGATAAAGGTGGTAATATTCCTTTACGTGTATAATGTGAAAAATATGTTTTTGCATTTTTTATCTCTTCATTTGTCCATCGTTTTTTTTTCTTATATGTTTCACGACCTGTAATACAAATAATTCATGATAAAAAATAATTGAAAGAGATCTTGATGTAACATCTAATTATTATATAGTTACATGATTGATTTTTGCGCTTCCTTTTTCTGTTTTCGCTGTTTATACTTTCATTAGAACTGTTTGAGCTCATATTCATTACATAATCTGATATGTCACTATCTGAATCTTTTCCTATTAAAAAAAACTATAATATAAACATGAAATCCAAATGTAAAGAGAATAAGAAAAAGAGATCAAATTATATTTTAAAATATACATTTTGTTTAACCTAATTGTTTTTATTTAGATATAAATATGTAATAAAAAAACTTTTGATTATTAATTCACACATTGATACAAATAATTTTGATATATACTTATATATATATATATATATATATACTTACGATAAATTAGACCTTTGTTTTTAGAATAAATATTTCGTTTCTTTCGTAGATTTGAAACTTGTTTGCTCTCTCTGTCTCTTTCTAGATTAAATTTAAATGTTATTTAATTTTAATTTTATTGTTATTAAAATCTTTTTAAGGGGATACATCTTATATAGATCAAAATAATAAATAAAAGGAAAATTATTTAATAAAAGAAAATAATATAAAAACAATATACCTTTATCTTTATTCTTCTTCTGTTCGGTTTGTATTTTTTTATCACGTTATTTTGTTTTCTTTTATTTTGCGGAATTTGTTTTTGCTTTATTTCTTGTTTCTTTTTTTTCGGTATTTCCTTATTTTTTTTCGTTTCTACTGAGGTATCAATAGTTTCTTCATTTGTATCGACAAATGTTTGTGAGATATCAGTAGATACTTCATTTAAATCGACAATTGTCTGTGTTATATCTAATAAACAAAAATATAATTAGTAAATTAAAAATAATCTTTAATTATAGTTAGTAATGTTTAAGTATAGTTGCTATAACCTTGATTATTGAAAGAAAGATTATCCTTTTCATTGTTCATAGTTACATCAGTTTCGTTAGAGGTTGTCGTATCCACACCTTGAGCTTTTTCTAAAATTTTTGACATTTCTAGTATATCAACTTTAGCAACAGGTTGTCTGTAAATTTCTTTGTGTATATGTTCATGATGACCCATAAAGTTTGCTACCCTTGTTACTTGATTATCTGATAAATTTAAATCCACACATTTTGTTGCGACATGTTTGCGCAAAGCAGTACCACGAAGGGAGGAAATATTTTTAGCTCCACATTCACTTGCAAAACCTCGCATTAGTTTACAAGCTCTTAAATGTTTATAGTGATCTTTGTTAACACTAGGTAATCCAAACACGAAAGGATTATTTGGTGGCACCTTAGCATTTGTCCGAAATTGTAATAAAAGTTGAATACTTTTGAACATTTGCGCATCTAATAGTACTGGAACTGTTCTATTTAATTTACCGCGAATAGTAAATCTAACATATTTATGAGTTGTGCCGGTTTGTGTAGAAAATTTACATATAGTGTTAGGTCCACAGGCGCATTCATGGTTTTTATAGTCATTAATTAAAATTCTTTCAGTTTCTCCGGCTCTACGACGATTAAATACTTGAATGGCTATGAGTGTTGCTTCAGCTAGTGCTTTACATACTTCATATGAAAATTCTTTTGATAATACTTTAATATTTTCGTGTATTTTTTTTTTCAAATAGTCACTTAAAATTTTAATATCACTTGTTCGAGGCAATACTATCTTTTTGTGCCGTTTTACTTTTGTTTGAGTTTCTATCACCACTTTATTTACAGTTCCACTAAAATCTACATCATAAATCTTCATAAAATCCTCAACATTTTTCCGTTTTATTAAATCATTGTCTACCATGTATGTAACATCTAAGATTTTACCGATCTTTTTTATACAAGTGCCGAGAGTAGATGCATTAGTTGGACGTTTATACATGTTTGTTTTGTAATCAAATTCTGCAATATCATTAATTGCCTCAATTACTGTTTTATAAAATTGTGGATCATATGCAGCAGCTAAAGTATTAATTTCGGAGTTTCGATTTCTCAAAGCTAGTACGAAACGACCTAAAAGGCGTAAATGAGCTCGTATATAATTATTCTGATGTTGATGAACTTGGCTTTTGCACATATTATTTCCATATAAAATAATTGCACGGTCATATCTTATAGCTTTGGATATTTCATCTTCTTGTAAGACCGGTAATATTTCTACTCTCATTCTTCTGCTTGTTTCTGGATGATATCTGCCAAGAACCCTTCGAGCATTTTGTAAAATTTGTCGAGAGGAACTTGAACTTGAATTTTTATTGTCCTTACATTGTTGTACATGATGTCTTAAATTATTTTGCGCATAAAATCCATTACAATAAGGACAATTAACAAAATTTGTACCATTCCGTTTAGTCTCTTTTGTAGGTCTTCTAACAGTTATCAATTTCCCATGATTATAGTCCTTTGTTGCGTTGAAAATAAAGTTTCCTTTTTTTCTTATGCTTGCTATTTTGTGCCAACGTTCAGCACATCCTTTTGGTAAGTTTAAGAAATCTTTAACTTGATCTTCATCACAGTGTTTATTTTCCAAATGACGCGCTATTTTAGTTTGTAAAGTCTTGCAAAATACACAAAAATTTTTTTGTTATCACCTTTAGGACCATTTGACATTTCAGCAGTTAATTCCAAATCATTACATGCACTATTTCCAGGAACATTAAATTTTAATTGACTATATTCATCGCTTTCGGATGCACTGTTTGTTTCATTAATACTATTATTATTAATATCAGAATCATTTGCCGTTACTTCTGTATTATTAATTTCTGATGAACATTGAGTTTCATCAGTTGGGTTGTATTCACTGGTATTTTGAGTTTCACTCATTTTTAAACTCTTATTGCTATCATCTAAAATAAAAAATGTATATAAACAGTATATCTAAAAGTATATCTAAAATCGTGTAGCTAAACAATTTAGTATATAGGATGTCCTAAAATCATTTGGAAACGATTTCTCCTCTGTGAAAATGTCGAGGCACCAATAGTTTCCTAATTATAATTAATTAAGAAAGAAGGGTGTTTCGTAAATTATACTCTGTAGAGATAAAATGTTAATAAAATTAAGTTATTCAGTTAATTTCAAGTAGAGTTTATTTTAATAGAATTTTAAGGTTTAATTAAGAAAGCCCATGGCGACAAAAAATATAATCTTGTAAAAAAAGTAATGACACTTTCGCAGAGAAAAAATCTCCAAATGGCCTCAATAATCTGTCATCAAGAAGAGGAACTCTAGTTGTGAAACACACGATATATATGTAAATATATACTATATCAGATAAAACATATTCCAGTATCTTATTTTTAAAATAAATTAATAAATATAATTAATTTTTATAAATAAATATAAAATATCTAAAATCTTTATTATATTTTCTACCACTTACCACAGTTTGATAAATTTAAAAATGATGTAGATTTCTCATTAGATAATAAAAATGATCGAATATTATTTCTTGTTAATTTATTCTTTTTCGTTCCATCTCAATGTTTGTTTGTTGTTTTTAAGATAGCATATGATTTACATATTTTCAGTAATTTTTTTATTTTCTTTGAATTACAATCATTAAAATGCGTACTGATTTTCTGATGTGTGTCTTTAGAATACAAAAAACAATTTTAAATTTTTACACTAATATTTATACTAATCTAATATACAAATATTTTAAAAAATAATTTACCTTTAATTTCTGCATGAATTAGGAGAGCCAATATTAATCATGTTTTGATTTAAATTTATCTTTAGATCACTATTATTTATATTAATTATAATTGCAAAATTTTTTAACAAAATAATATTCATTAATTTCCATTTAAATTATTTTCAGTCAATTCATTTTTGCGTTGCTATCTTTTTGATCAATATTAAAAAGTAACTCACACATATTTTCTGATATTGAAGATTCTTTATTTAAAATGAATATTAAACTTGAATCGATCTTCACTTTTTGCTTGTATTAGCTTTATTTGCACTCATTCACTGTGCTTTCAACATTTAAATTTATTTTTCGCTGACATCTAAAGCAGTTTCTATTATTTCACTTATCTAAAAAAAAAACTCAACACTAAAGTAGTTTCGATCTGACAAGATTTTTTATTTAAAGATGTCTAGCAATTTTATTCAATCGATGACATCTATTTCTAGATCACTTTTTCATTGATTCTAAAGTAGTTTCTGTTTTCAGAACAACATCTAAGCTTTACTTTTTGACAACAAGCAGTTTCTATTTTTCTATTATTTGTAGTAGTTTTCATCTTTTATTTTTTCTAAAGTAGTTTTGTTCCTTCGCTATCTAAAAGCTTTTTGTCTTCCCTCGTAGCTGCCTTTCTGATATCTAAAGTAGCTTTTTCTGTTCGCTGATATCTAAAGCAGCATTCTTTCGCTGACATCTAAAGTAGTTTAAACTCTTTCATTAACTTCTTAATTTTTGTCATCGACTATCTAAAGCAGTTTCTGACATCTGAAGTAGTTTTCACACTTTCAAAACCTCTAAAGTCTTTTTCCTTGAATCTAAAGTAGGTTTTATTTTTTAATGACATTTTTAAGTAGTTTTTATTCCTTTAATTTACTCTAAAGTATTTTTGTTCGCTGACATCTAAAGCAGTTATTTTTCGCTGACATTAAAGTAGTTTTCATTCTTTCATTAAAAAGTAGTTTCTGACTTTGCTAATCTAAAGTAGTTTTATTTTATTACATTTAATAATTAACATGCTGTTATCTAAAGTTGCTGTATTCTTTCGCTGACAAAAGAAGTCTCCATTTTGTCATCTAAAGTAATTTCTGGAATTCTTTGCTAATAAAAGTTATTAACATTAAAACTTGTCTTCTCTTATGTTTTGCAACACTTTTGATTACATTAAATTATAAAATTCGGTTTCTGAAACTGATTTAATTCATGATAAAGTAGCTTATTTATTTTTTTATAAATCTAAATATATTTAATTATATTATAAAAAACTAAAAGTAATTAAAAGTATTATACTTAATGATAATAATAATGAAGTAATTTTTTAAAGAAAGATTTTATCTAAGGTGCAGTTATATTATTTCAATTAATATATGAAAAACATTCTACTTTAAGCTCATCATCTCGTTCACTCTTCTTCTTTCATGGAAATAATAAAGATCTACAATACTCGTAAGCCTACGTAAAGAGTCGAGAATCTAAAAAAAAACTCGTGTTAATATACAGGATTCCGGTAACTAAGAGTAAAATGATTAAAATGAATTATTAATCAATTTGTTTACGATTTTAATTCAACAAAACCGAAAAAATCTTCATTTTTTACTCTTTCCAATCTTTGCCAATTATTTACGTTTGTAACTACGCTTTATTAAAATTTTATTATAGTAAATTATTACCTGAAATTAATGAATAATGTACGTTATGTTAGATTTTTAACTTAAACGTTTAGTTTTAAAAAACTATTTTTTGGAATACGTATAACTAAAATTAAGACTTCCGGGTTTTTGCTAAGGAAAAATAATAACGAAATTGGTAGAGAGAATATTAATCATGGATCCGTAGATTACCAACACATTGTATATATTATATAAAAGTGATAGCAAGTCAAAGCTAGTATTACAGGATAAGTAAAAACAATTGCGTATTATTTCATTGCGTTTATTTGTTTAAACGCGCGCTTTAAGCCAACGTTTTTGCCTGTTTATATTTTAAAGGTTTAAAAATCTTGTTTTAAAGATCCATAAGCGTAAAATTAAAAGTAAATTATTTAATATTTTTAATTTATTATTTGTAAATCCTCGTTAATTTCAAATTTTTAATTTGAAAATTATTAATTTTCTATTGCCTAATTTTACACGACTTTCTCTTACTCCAACCTTTCGTTTGGGTTTTAGTATACGATTTTTTATCAAGCACTGAAATTATATTGTGAATTATACTTGTCCGTAATTTAAGAATTTGAATTTCGTTGAAATTGTTGATTTTTCAAAAAAATTCAGATTCGCGGAAATTGCGTGTTGTTGGCATTTTCCGTTACGGCAGGCGGTTTAGTTTTTGATTGTTGCAAGTGTTTTTTTTTTTTTTTTAAATAGATAAATATGTGAAATAAAGCGATATTTGACATGCGCATATATATCATAATTGTAATAATAATAATATTATATCATAAAATTATAATATATAATTTTTCAATTTATTATATTGACTGCGATAAAAGATTTTACATTTGGATAAGAAACTGCGGTAAGTAAAAATATAAATTCTTGAAAACGTAAAAAATATTTGATAACGTAAAAAGGTGAACTTTGAAAAATAAGGAACTTAAAATTGCACTAATAAATGGGCTATATGTGAGCCGTGCGCGGATGTAAGGTGTGTTATATCGAAATTTAATTAATAGAATTGAGAATTAATCCCAATTTTAAGTCTTACAAATGTCCAAGCTAATTTTTTTTACCTCGTGTACATTTTTGAAAGTTATAATCGAAAAATTAAATTTCAATATGCGTCTTACATCTCACATTTCGCATACGGCTCACATATAGCCTATTTATCTCTTATACTTTATTTCAACTCTTATAGAAATTTATTACTAGTAACGCCAATTTATCACTTATTTCGAGTAATTAATCACTTTTATTTCGAATACTTAATTACTGTATATTATAGTATTTTAAATACTCAAAATAAGTGATTAATTGGCGTAGTGAATTTCTACAAGAGAATAAGGAGCCTTTAAATTCTTAATGTAAAAAATTTCAAGTAATTTTCTTTAATAAAATTTAATTAAAAAATTTAATAAAAAATTTTGAACACTGTGTTATATCACATTTAAATTGTGATTATTTCAATAAAAAAACATTTTATGTGTAAAAATATATTTTTTATATTTAATAAATTTTATATTATATTGCATATATGTAAAATATTCTTCTCTCTCTTTCTTCTTCTTCTCTACACCAACACACCAACGGGGGCCAAATCTATCAAATTGGTCTCATGATCAATTAGCCTGGATTCGCACCAGGGGCAAAGTCTGTTGGTAATGTCAAACGAATTTAGCCTGGACTTGCACCAGGGGCAAAGTCTTTTGGTCCTTTTAGCACGGACTCGAACCAGCAAAGTCTTTTGGTTCAAGTCTACGAAATTTAGCACGGACTCGAACCGGCAAAGGTCGGTAAGGGGCAAAGTCTATCGCACGAAGATGGCGGTCTCTTCTTTAGGCGGTGGCGATCTGTCTATTAATCTGTGCCCAGGCCACAGATTAATAGACAGATCGCCAAAGGTCTGGATGAAGGAGAGACCAGCATTTCTCACTGATTTCAGCGCCATATCGTGGTAGTGGTCAATGCAGTAACTATTAATACGTTCCTAAGATGAGCGTCTCATGCTCATGAACTCGTCCGGCGGCATGTACGAGATTTATCTTTTCGTAGCGTTCGCGTATTTCGGAAAGGACAGAATTTTATGATGTTATAAATAAATAAATAAATAAAATATTAACCTGACCTATTATAATTATTTTTTAATAAATGTTTCATTATTATTATCATCTAAGTCTAAGTCGTTTAATTAATTTTTAGTTTTTTAATAATTAATTTAATTTATTCTAATCATTTTAATATGTGAAAAATACTAATACGTATACGTTTTATAATGAATTAATATATTTCGAGAGTCGAATTATATATTTTTAATAATATAAAAGTGTTCAAAAATTATATTTGACTTTTAATTTTAATTATTTTAGCAAAGAGTTCCGAAATCTCTTACACACATAATAGGGATTTTGTTCATCCATATAATTCGCAATTAAGTATATATGTTAATTATTAATTTTAATAAAATACAAAATTAAAATTAAAGGTCAAATATAATTTTTGAACATAAATATATTTAATTCGTTATAAAACGTATACCCGTGATAGTATTTTTCTCGTACAAAAATAATTAGAACAAATTAAATTACTCATAAAAAAATTAAAAAATAATTAAATAATTTATATTATATATGATAATAATAAAACATTTTATAAAAAAAACAGATTCAATAAATATAAGTATATATATAACATGTACTTATATTTATTGAATCTGTTTTTTAATAAAATGTTTTATAAGCTTAGAAAACTTGACTTTGACGTAACTAGCAAATTTTATTTAATTATTTCACGACGGTTTGACGTAATAAAATGTTTTATTATTATTATATAAAATATAAGTTTAAATTCTTTAAGGGGTTATACCTACCTGCAAGGTCTGAAAAACACGTATTTTTGGGAATTTTTTTTTTAAATATTTGAAGTGCTTTGGAAAGGAACATTTATGTTTTCAAATATATATATTTCAAAGATTATTTAGTATTTTTTTTATTGCAAAATGTTGATAAATAAAAAAGATATGCTTAATCTTCCAGAAGCAGTTTTTTGAAAAGCGTTTTGCGGTGACCAC